CCCCCCCCCCCCCGTTCCCTTCAGTGTTCTCCTCACTTTCTCCCCATTGTTCATCTCATTGTTCTCCTCCTGTTCCCTTCACTGTTCCCCCCATTCCCTTCAGTGTTCTCCTCATTTTCTCCCCATTGTTCCCCTCAGTCTTTTTCTCCTGTTCCCCTCAGTGGTCTCCTCCTGATCTTCTCAGTGTTCTCCTCCTCTTCCCCTCAGTGTTCTCCTCAGTGTTCCCCTCAGTGTTCTCCTCCTGTTCCCTCTCAGTGGTGTTCTCCTGTTCCCCCCAGTGTTCTCCCTCTGTTCCCCTCAGTGTTCTTCCTTTTTCTCCTCAGTATTCTTCTTCCTGTTCCCCTCAGTGTTCTTCTCCTGTTCTCCTGAGTGTTCTTCCTCTGGTTCTCCTGAGTGTTCTCATGTTCCCCTCAGTGTTCTCCTCCTGTTCCCTTCAGTGTTCCCCCTGGTTCCCTTCAGTGTTCTTCTCCTGTTCCCCTCAGTTTTCTCCCCCTTTCTCCTCAGTGTTCTCCCTCTGGTTTCCCTCAGTGTTCTCCTTGTGTGTCTATGTGAATATTCATGTTAATGGACACTAATAAATAGGTTCCTGCAGGTGTGTATAACTGGTGTCTGTCTGGTGTTAGAACTGTTCTTGGTATTGACGCAGAGATGTGAGATCAGATTGCGTCCATGAAGACGAGGGTCTGAGTGTGGAATCGTCTGTTTTTCACTGCAGAGTTCTGTCTGTCCGTTGGCGTGCGGAGTCTCTCTGAAGGAGAACATCTGAAGCAGAGCGTCTCTGTAGGCCAACTGAAGGAACCTCTGCCCAGCACATCCTCCAGACCAGAGGACCTCTCTGAACCAGACCACCAACCAGACTCTCCTGACGATGTGGCCGGTGAGGAAGAGGAAGAGGACGAAGAAGCAACGCCTTACTGCTGCAAAGTGTGCAAGAAGTCCTTCGACAGGAAGGGCTTCCTGATGAAGCACGTGGAGAAACACCTGAAGGACGCTGACTGTCTCTGTGGTCTGTGCGGCGAGCATCTGGAGTCCAGCGATGAGCTGAGGCTGCACTTCCAGACGCACCGTGAAAGCAGCCGGACCTGCGATGTCTGCGGCAAGAAGTTCCCCTCCATCCGCGCCCAGGAGACACACCTGAGGCTGCACACCGGCGAAAAGCCCTTCAGTTGCCACGTCTGCGGTAAAGGCTTCAACCAGAAGGGCAACATGGTGACTCACCTGCGGATCCACACGGCGGAGAAGCCGTTCAGGTGCACCGTCTGCCACAAAGAGTTCAGCCACGCAGGCTCTCTGGAGCGACACATGAAGGCCCACAGCGGAAAGACACCATTCAGTTGCACTGTCTGCGGGAAAGGTTTTGGCAAGAGCGCCGAGCTAAGGCGACACATCCGGAGCCACGAGTCTGACGGCGTGCCCACCGCCAGGAGCAGGCGCAGGAAACCGAGTCTTACGCCGTCTCACTGCTGTAAGGTCTGCGGAAACGCATTCCACAACAAAGGGAACTTTGTGCGTCACGCTGAGACGCATCTAAATGACCCCGACAGCTGTTGCGGCATCTGTGGCGAGCAGGCGGAGTCCTCGGAGAGTCTGCAGCTCCACATCCAGAGCCACAGGGAGACCAGTAGGATTTGCGACATTTGCGGCATCAGCTTCAGGGACATGGAGATCCACATGAGGACACACACTGGACAGAAACCCTTCAGCTGCAAGGACTGTGGCAAAGACTTCCCCCGGAAGGGTTCCCTGGAGCGACACATGAAGCTGCACGCCGGTGACCGGCCCTACATCTGCGAGTTCTGCGGCAAAACCTTCATTGAGAACACCGTCCTCAAGAGACACATCAAGAGCCACACGGGGGGGAAGCCCAGGATCTACTCCTGTGATGTCTGTGGCAAGAAGTTCACCATGAGCCAGCACCTGGATGTCCACAAGAGGATCCACACTGGTGAGAAACCCTATACCTGCCGGGTCTGCGGGAAGAACTTCCGCCAGATCGGGAACCTGGACTCCCACATGAGGATCCACACGGGTGAGAAGCCATTCATCTGCAGCCTCTGTGGGAAGCGTTTCCGCCAGAAGATCTCGCTGGAGACGCACGAGAGGTTCCACAAGAAGGAGAAGCCATTCAGCTGCCAGCTGTGCAGCAAAGGCTTTGTCCAGAAGATCGACCTCAAACGACATATGCTAACACACACCGGCGAGAAACCCTACAGCTGCACAGTCTGCGGCAAGAGTTACCAGGAGAAACGCTCCGTGGACTCGCACATGAAGGTCCACACCGGAGAGCAGACTGCCAAAGACTCAGCGCTGACACTTGGACTGAAACGACAGGAAGGAATTCACGCCGACTTCATCCAGCTGTGACATCACATGAAGCTTCCAGTTAGTAAACAGTGGATATAAAACGTTGACAACTCTCCGTTAGAACTTTGGGTTCTTGTGATGAGACGAAAATTGAGTCCAGATGTTCTTGAGGGACTTTCCTGACACTGACTCAGGCTGCGTTCACACCTGTCCTGTTTGGTGCGGTTGGTTTGCCCCCTCAGTGCAGTTTGTTTGTGCAGGTGTGAACACACCAAACCAACTGGACTGAGACCATCTATTAAAGAAGGTCTCGGCCCGGTTGTTACAAACAAACTCAGGTGCAGCTGGTTTGTGGTGAAAATGTGTTCTGACCTGGATCCGAACCAACAGCAGTCACATTACACATTGTTTGGGTTCTTCACCGTTTTGTTTACTTCCTGGATTTTTCCCACATGGAAATTCTGACCAATCAAGAGCAGATTTCTCATGCAGGCATTTGATCTGGTCCGCTTGTAAATGCTGCCATGAGAACACGAATCAACTCTAGGTCTAAAAGTGTCTCACACCAGAAGTCGTAAAGAGTTTCCAGAACATCATCGTTGGAAGGTATCATTCAGTCATCAGATAAATACCAAGAACAACAGTGACATGATGTCCCGATGTCTTCTACATGTGATCATCTTCAGTGCTGTATCGTAGGAACTGGATCTGCCTGAGTTTCTTGAAGACATTTCGCCTCTCATCCCAGAAGCTTCTTCAGTTCTGATGGACTGGTGTGGAGCTGCAGGCTTTAAACTCTGTGTGGGTGTGAACCCTTAGAGAGTCACTGAGGTCACATGTGAGTCGTTGACCCATTCGGCCATCATATGTGTTGTTAGGGTCAGATTGGTCTTGGTGTGAATGGTAGTGGGGACGTCCACCTGTCCTGAGACGCTGTGGGGGCGTCTCTGCTTCCTGTTTAAATGTCAGTAAGTTGTCAGCCGTGTGAGTTTTAGCTTCGTCACCACATAAGAAGAAAAACAGGAAGTCAACAGCTGATTCCTATGACCACTAGGACCTCCTTCAGAACCCACAGA